TCAAGAATTTTTGGAATCAAGCCTCAGAATATCAAGGATATTTGAAATTTCTGAAATTTCTAGAACTTTTGAAATCTTTATAATCTTTAGCCTTCAGATTGTTTTGAATCGTCATTCTTCCAAGTACACAGAAAATTGAGAATTGTAGGAATCTTTGAATTCAGAACTTTTATAATCTTTAGAGTATTCGGAATCTTAGAATATTCAGAATCTTTCGAATCTTCAGAATCTTCAGAATTTTCGGAATCTTCAGAATCTTCAGAACCTTTCGAAACTTTAGAATCTCTGGAATCTCTAATCTTGAAATAACATAAATTTTTGTGAATTTCTGGAAGTTCTGCAGTCTTGGAATATCCGGAATTTTTAAAATTTTTGGAATTTATGACATTTCTGGAACATTTGGAATCTTTATAAGTTTACAACCTTCAAAGACTTCAGATTTTTTTAAATTTTCAGCTTTTAAAATACTTGAAATTTCTAGAATCTTCAGATTTATCAGATTTTGTAATTTTCAGCACCTTTTGAATCTCCCTAGAATCCCTGAATATTCGAAATCTTTGGAATATCTGGAATATCAATTCGGGACTTTTGGAGTTTGTGTAATTTTCTGAATCTTCAGAATCTTCAAAATTTTCAGAATTTTCAGAATTTTTTGTATCATCATTCAGAATCTTTAAAATCTTCAGAATCTTTCGAATATTAACAACTTCAGACTTAAAAATATTTACAGTCTTCAAGAGCTCCAGAATTCTTAGAACCTCTAGAATTTCAAGAATCTCGGAATATCCAGAATTTTTAGAAATTCTGGAACATTGAGAATTTTTATAATCCTTAGAATCTTTGGAATCTTGAGTTTCCAGATTTTTTTAAAAGTTTTAGCTCTTTGAAATACTCAGAAACTTCAGAATCTTCAAAATCTTTAAAATGTTTAGAAACTTTACAATCGTTATAAACTCGGAATCTTTGGAACTTTTGGAATTTCTGGAGTCTTTAAATATACATAAATTTTGATGTTTCTGGATCTCTGAAACCTTCGGACTCTTCAAAATTTTAAGAAACTTCAAAATCTTGATTTTTTTGGAATCTTCAATAATACAAATACTGCGCATTTTTTTCGTAATCTCCAGAATCATCAGTATCTTCCTTCAGAATATTCAGAACCTTCAGTAAATTCATTCAAAATCTTCAAAATCTTCGGTATCTTCAGGATTTTTCGAGTTTTTAGAACCTCAGGTTTCTGAATAACCGGAATTTTTGGAATTTCTGAAATCTCTGGAGTTTTGGAATGTCTGGAATTTTTTAAATTATTAGAATTTCTGGAACTTGTGGCATTTTTATAACTTTAGAATCTTCGGAATCTTGAAACACTTCGGGTTTTGAAATAAGTACTCGGAATCTTTAGAATCTTCTGAATCATAAATTTTTGTAATTTTCAGAATCTTTGGAACCTTTGGAATTTCTAAAATATTTGAAATAACTGAAATTTTTATAATTCTTCAGAATCTCCGTAACGTCATTGTTTTCAGATTTTTTGGAGCCTTCGGGCTTCGAAATATTCAAATCTTCAGAAACTTTAGATTCCTCAAAATCTTTAGAATCTTTAGAGTCCCTAATTATTCTAAATCTTTGGAATCTCTGGAATCTCTAGGGCCTCGGAATATACGGAATTTTTGAAATTTCTGGGACTTCTGGAATCTTCAAACCCTTCAGAATTTTTGGAATCTACAGAATTTTCAGTGTATTCATTCAGAATCTTTAAAATGTCCAAAATCGTTCGAATCTTAACAACTTTCAAAATTTTTATAGCCGTGGAATATCGGGAATTTTTTGAATTTTATGAATCGTTGGAATATTTGAAATCTTCGATATCTTGAATTTTCAGAGTTTAGTTTTCAGTTTCAGAAATATTTACATCCTTCAAGACCTCTAGAATTCACAGAACCTTCAGAATGTTCAGAATCTTAGAATCTCTAGGCTCTAGGAATATCCAGATTTTTTAAAATTTTTGGAACATTTGGAATCTTTAAAATCTTCGGAATCTTCAGTCTCCAGATTTTTTTGAAATCTTTAGCCTTTGAAATTCCCAGAATCTTCAGAATCTTTAGAAACTTTAAAATTTTTATAATTTTTAGAATCTTTCTAAACCCGGAATATTCGGAAGCTTTAGAAGTTTTGGAATCTCTAGAGTCTTGGAATATACGGAATTTTTGAAGTTTCTCGAATGTCTGGAACCTCTAGAGTCTTCAAAATTTTAAGAATCTTCAAAATATTATTTTTTTTTAATCTTCAATGCTGCGAATTTTTAGAATTTTCGGAATCTTTAGAATTATCAATATCTTTGTTCAGAATATTCAGAATCTTCGATATCTTCATTCAGAATCTTCTGAATCTTCGATATCTTCATTCAGAATCTTCAGAATCTTCAAATTCTTTCGATTTTTTAGAATCTCTGATCTCAGAATAACCGGAACTTTTTGGAATTTCTGAAATATCTGGAGTCTTGAAATATCCGGAATTTTTGAAAGTTCTCGAATTTCTGAAACATTTGGAACCTTTATAACTTTAAAATCTTCGGAATCTTCAAACACTTCAAATTTTGAAATACTCTGAATCTTCAGATTTCTTAATTTTTGGAATTTTTAGACCTTCCAAAACTTTCAGAATCTTTGGAATTCCTAGAATCTCTGGAACCTTTGAAAAATCTGAAATCTTTATATTCCTCAGAATCTTCGTAGGCCCAAAGTTTTAAGATTTTTTTAGAATCTTCGAATCTTCAAAATCTTTAGGATCTTTAGGATCCCTAGAATCTCAGATTATTCGGAGTTTTTCGAAATTCTGGAACTTCTGGAACCGTGTTCAGATTTTTTGGAATCTTCATTTTTTCTAATGCTGTGAATCTTCAGAATTTTCGGAATCTTACAAATCTTCAGTATCTTCATTCAGAATCTTCAAAATTTTTCGAATCTTTACAACCACTAAAATTTCTAAAGTCTCAGAATATCCGGAGTTTTTGGAATTTGTGGAATCGTTGAAAAATCTAAATCTTCAATTTACAATTTTTTTGAATCTTCAGTCTTTGAAATATTTGGTTCAAAGTGTCCAGAATCCTCACAACTTTCAGAGTCTTCAGAATCTTTCTTTAGGATCTCTGGAATCTCAAGACACTCGGAATATTATTTTTGGAATTTCTGGAACATTTGGAATCTATATAATCTTTAGAATCTTAGGAATCTTCAGTCTGCAGATTTTTTAAAATCTTTAACGTTTGAAATACTCAGAAATCTTTAGAATCTTCAGAAACTTTAAAATCTTCACAACCTTTAGAATATTTAGAATCTTGGGAACCTTCAGTCTTCAGATTTTTTTTAAATCTTTAGTTTTTGAAATACTCAGAATCTTCAGAATCCTAGGAATCTTTAGAATCTTTAATACCTTCAGAAACTTTAGAATCTTTAGAATCCCGGAATATCCGGAAAATTTGCAACTTTTGGAATCTCTGGAGCCTTGGAATGTACAGAAATTGTGAAGTTTCTGGAATTTCTGGAATCTTCAAAATTTAAGAGTCTTCAAAATCTTTTTGTTAATCTTCAATTTCACAACTGCTGTAAATTTTTAGAATTTTCGGAATCTTTAGAATGGTCAATATCTTCGTTCAGAATCTTCAGAATCGTTAGTATATTTATTCAGATTCTTCAGAATCTTCGGTATCTTCAATCAGAATCTTCATAATTTTTTGAATTTTTAGATCTCTGGTCTCAGACTAACTGGAATTTTTGGAAATTCTTGAATCTATGGAACCTTTGGAACCTTATTAACTCTAGAATCTTCGCAATATTCAACACTTCAGATTTTTTGGTTTCTTCAGCTTTTGAAATAGTCAAAAATTTTAGAATCTTCAGATTTATGAATTTCACGAAATTTCAGAACCTTCCGAATTTCCTGAATTTTCAGAATCTTTCGAATCTTTGGAATCCCTAAAATCTCTGGAACATTTGGAATTTCTAAAATCTTTGAAATATCGGAAATTGTTATCTTGTTAGACTCTTAAAAATCTTTAGAATCCTTAGAATCGTAGAATATTCGGAATTTCTGGAATTTTCAACTTTTTTGGAATCTTCAATCTTCCAAAGATTTGGTATCTTCACAGTCTCCAGAATTCTCAAAACATCTGCAATTTTTTTTTTAATCTTAAGCCTTTGAAATACTCAGAATCTTCAGAATCTTAGGAATCTTTAGAATCTTCAAAATCTTTAGAATCTTCACAATCTTTAGAGTCCTTAGAATCTCTCAACTCCCAGAATATTCGGCATCTTTGGTAATTTTGGTATCTCTAGCTTTTGAATACACAATTTTAGAAATTTCTGCAATGTCTAGAACCTTTGGCGTCTTCATAGTTTCAAGAATCTTCAGTCTTCAGATTTTTTGGAATCTTCAATCTTACAAATACTGTGAGTCTTCAGAATTTTCGAAATCTTTAGAATCATCACTATCTTCGTTCAGAATATTCGGAATGTTCAAAATCTTTTGCATTTTCGAAATTTACTGATATTTTTGAATTACCCGAATTCATTATAATTCTTGAATTTTTTACAATAATTATAAACCCCTCGAATTTTTAGATATTTACTTCCAACTTTCTGAAATCCCTGGATTTTTTTGTATTTTTGAGTTCACTAAAGCACTTGAAGTTTTTCGAATCCTCAAAATATTCAGAACACTTGCAATTATTTTTTAAAGAATTTGAAATTTGAAAGAAATTTGGTCAAGCGGATTTGAAACTTTAATATCTCGTAAAAGGAAACTTAAATTATTACTCTATTGCAAAAAATTGGTAAATACGGCCCTGTTCTTGATGCAGTATGCACAAAAATAAAAACAATACTTTAAAAAACAAATATATTTTTCTCTAAAAATCGTATTACAAATAAATAAATAAATTAGTCCGGTATTTTTAATAAATTACAAACTGGTACCTACTCGTACGAAAATAACAATATTCCAAACAGTAAAAAAATAACAATTCTTTCAATTCTTATTTAATTTCCACATTCTAGTTAGTGTGGTGGCTGAAACATAGTGAATATAATAATTTTCAAAATAAAGAAAAATCAAAGACTATATTCAGTATATCCGAAAAAAAATTGCCTTGAAAAATGTACTAAAACTGAAACTGTACAAAAAACAAACAAGTGTCATTAATGACTGAGTAGGCAACCGAATATACTCTAAAGCGTAGATGGTAACTAACTAGGACATCGTTTTTAAAATGCACTGTACAACTTACCAGAAGTCGCAATGAATTATAGAACGGATACGGCGAAATAGCAGGAACTGGAGACTGAAATTTAAGAGCGTCAGCAAGACCATGTATAATCACCACAAAATAACTACCATAAAAATGGGCACATTTATGGGTATTCTTGACGGCTGATTCGCGACGGAGTAACAACCAAAAAGCTGCAACACATAAAAAGCATTATACTGCTGGAAAACAGATCCGTAATAAAAGAAAATTTTTCACGCTTTTAGTACTACGGTACATAATTACTTACAGGCAACGAATTTGTGGCCCGAACTGCGCTCCGTAGCACCACAGGACCAACGTGTTTGTAATAATCTCGGCTACAAAACTTCAAAAATTAATTTAAAATCCATTTTTTAAGTCTGAATCGTACCTGTATTGCTGAAGCTGGTTACGAATTGCGTAGGGAACGCGACTGAAGTTTATTGTACGTCCGTGGAGGCCAAAGTTGTCTTGTATTGTAACAATTATTAATGGATAATTTTTTTTGTGAAGATAAATATTACTTACTTTTGAGTCGAGTTTCCGCTTTTACCATTTCTTGATAATTCACGAACGTGATGTATCCATAAAATTTGCTGCTAATGCGAAACTGGACCAAGGTTTTCGCATCGATTATTCCAATGAGGGCGTCGAAGAGGTCTTTTTTCGTCAAGTCGGGCGAAAAGTTGGTGAAATATAAGTTCGTACTCTGCGTGAGAAAATAAGAAAACGTTGTTATTCCACTAGGTCAGAAAAATAAATTTGGGGTGAAGTTGGCACGGGTTAAAGGGGCGTTCTGCTTTAACATTGTTCTTGGTGAGGTATTGACCGTTCCACTTCGCTTCGTTCCACACAAGACAATTGTAAGAAATTTTGAATATCATAACGATTTTGACAACGATCCTGTAGCAAGCAACAACATACGTTGAAAGTGAGTTTCTTTGTTCTTCAATATTCGAGACACGGAAGTTATAAATAAAGGCGGGACACGAGTTTCGTAGCTCAGTTTTATGTTTACAAAAAGTTTAATCAAACAACAGAGTGTTGAACCGCTGTAAAAGCAGAGGCGGCCGCTGTGAAAGGCGGCAAGAATTATGAATAGAGGAACACCTGACCCTCATTATATTTTTTTAGGGAAGATGTAACGGACGAAACACATTTTCTCCATCGATTGTACGAAAAAAATTAAATAAATGTATCTTTGTCAAAACTGAAACTAATTGAATCTTAGGTCATTCTAATTCGTGCTATAAATCTTGTCCGGGAAACAAAATGATGCAACTAAGCCTTACATTTTTCAGCTAGAAATTGCCATTTATTATCCCTGCGGTTTACTCCAGTATTTTTCCAAGTGCCGGGTTTCTGAATTTCGCCTTTATGGTAATCGGATGAGGATTTTCTGCATACACCGCAATTTTAAATACATGAATATTCAAAACGTTTATTCAGTGAGAGTCAATGGTCTGGCGTTTCGCGGCTCGTAGAACACAAAAATGCAGATTTCCCCGGATTTTACACGTTTTAATCGTCGCGGATTACTAAACCCAAAGAGAGAACTAGAAATCGCTTTATAATTTATGAAGGTTTGTTTTGAACCGAGTGGGAAAATGACAAATATCTACATTTTGTAGTATAAATATTTCACTTCGGGCAGACAAGGAAAAATGACCCTAGTGGAATTATAGAAATGGAGAAACAAACTCGGTGTCAGTGAAGTATTTGCAGAAGCTCATTAGTTAAAAGGGGGAAAGCCACCACACGTATAAAACAGAGCCACTTTTTTAAATTTTCGACGTTTCGAAGATAGATTGATTACGAACTAAGAGAGTTACAGTCGTGTTTCATATTCAGGTTCAAATTAATCGTTTTAAACCAGTTATGGTAGATACAGTTGTATAAACCCCGGAGAGAATCATAAAGTCGTTAAATTTTTTCCGGCGAAGTTATCGAATTGACCTAGGTTATAAATGTTTAATACATAAGACCCATGTGATCTCCCACTTTGTTTTCAATTTTGTGCCGTTTTAGCATCTGAGAATTTTCTACGAAGATAATTGGATTTTGTAAATTCGGGCTGAAATTTATTATGTTTAATTTGGATGATCGGATTATGTACTTATGATTATAATAAATCACCGACGTTGATCTCGATTTATGTATTATGTATTTATATATTATACTTTTATGACTGAACTACACAAAGAAAGGAAAAACGTTCAAAGACTGAATGCTACCTACATTGAATTTTGCATTAATAATGGATCTGATATGTCATAAATTATTGATATGAAACATACTGGGGACTGACTTCGATTAAACGTATGCAATTTATAAATATAATATGTCTTGAACAGAATTCTACAAAAAATAATATCACAAATTAAAGATAAAACCATATTTTTGCTTTTTGGAATAAAATTTAGTCAATGTTTTGTTACCTCTAAATGATGATGTTACTTGAATATTATTTAGTGTTAGTTACTGTTATTACTAGTTTTTTTTTATTTATGGATTTTTAGTTCTAAAACGCCTGAGTTTTCGTCAATTTTGTTTTTTAAAATAGCCCATTTTGAAAGGAAATTTATGTAATATGGCAGACAATTAAAAGAAATGATTTTCGTATTTGCAAAGTAGTTGCCCCTCGGAAAAAAAAAGTTCGAACCTTAAAATATTTAATTTTTTCAAAGTCATTTCTGTATTTTCAAAATTCATATAAATTTTTATCCATCTTTAAACATACCTAGTAGTCATGTAGTGGGAGTTTTAAGAAAATTTAAGCTAATTTCACCTGTTTTAGAATCCCCATTACTTTTTGTCGACCAATTTGACCTGTCTTAGGACCTTGATTATTTTTTTGACCAATTTATCAGGAAAAAGTGATAGGGGTTTTAAGAGAGGTCCAAGTTTCGACAAAAAATTTAGTGGGGATTCTAAGACAGGTCAAATGAGGTCAAACTACCTTAGAACACTACTTGCTTATCAATGCACATTTCTCGATAAAAATGAGTTTAATAATTTTTATAGATGATGACAGCAGCTGATGTGATGTGTTTCTAAAATATTTAAAAACTGCGTATCTAACATTCTTCAATTTAATTTTAAGATTGCAAAATCCAACGCTTTGAAATCTCGTTTTGAGTTTATCGGAAGCATGGTAAATTGTTAATCAAAATTTATCCGTTCATGAAAATGTTCTGGAAAATAAATATTATTTAAATGTTAAAAAGTAACATAGTTCTGAACTTGTGTTGAATTTTTTTCCTAGGCATCGAGATTTTTGAAAAAAATCAACACTACAATTTTTCGTTTTCTCAAGTTTTCGAATTTTCGATTTTTTGGCTTTTCGATGTTTCGGTTTCTGAATTTTTCAATTTATGGTTATTTCAATTTTGGGATTTTTCAAACCTGTGATTTTTAAATTTTTCGACTTTTCAATTTCTCGATTGCTCAATTTTTCGATAGGTATCTCAGTTTTGAGGTTTTTCAAATTTTCCATTTCTGAGTTGTTTATTTTCCGATTTCTCAATTTTCTGATTCTTCATTTCAGTTTTTGGCCTCTCAAAATTTTCGAATTTCCGACTTCCTAGATTTTTTCGGATTCTCGACTTGTTGATGATTCGATTTTCAGATTTTCGAATTTTCAACTTAACAATTTTTAGATTTTTCAGGTTTCTGATTTTTTAAATTTTCGATTTTTCGAATTTTCCACTTTTCTTTTTCTCGATTTTTCAATTTTTCGATATTTCAGTTTTGGGATTTTTCAGTCTTGTGATTTTGAAGTTTCCGACTTTTCAATTTCTCGATTTTCATTTTTCAGTGACTCAAATTTTCGATATCTCAGTTTTGGGATTTTTCACTCTTTTTTTCCGACTTTTCAATTTCTCGATTTTCATTTTTCAGTGACTCAAATTTTCGATATCTCAGTTTTGGGATTTTTCACTCTTGTGGTTTTTAAATTTTTCGACTTTTCACTTTCTCGATTTTCAGTTTTTCGATTGCTTAATTTTTCAACATCTCAGTTTTAGGATTCTCAAAATTTTCAATTTTTCAATTTGTTTATTTTCCGATGTGTCAGATTTTCCAATTTTTCGATTCTTCATTTCTTCGATTTTTTAATTTTTCCGTTTTTGGCGTCTCTAAATTTTCGATTTCTCGACTATTCGATGTTTCGGATTCTGAACTTGTTGATGTTTTGATTTTCAGATTTTCAGGTTTTCAAATTTTCAACTTAACAATTTTTACATATTTCAGGTTTCCGATTGTTTACATTTTCGATTTTTCAAATTTTCGACTTTTTATTTTCTCGATTTTTCAATTTATCTGTATTTCAGTTCTGGGATTTTTCAGTCTTGGAATTTTTAAATTTTTCGACTTTTTAATTGCTCTATTTTCAATTTTTCGAATGCTCAATTTTTCGATATTTTTTGGGATTCTTCAAATTTTTCGACTTTTTAATTTCACAATTTTCAATTTTCCGATGTGTCAGTTTTACAATTTTTCAATTTTTCGATTCTTTATTTCTTCTATTTTTTAATTCTTCAGTTTTTGAAGTCTCAAAATTTTCGAATTTCCGACTTCCTAGATTTTTTCGGATTCTCGACTTGTTGATGTTTCGATTTTCAGATTTTCGAATTTTAACTTAACAATTTTTAGATTTTTCAGGTTTCTGATTTTTTAAATTTTCGATTTTTCCAATTTTCCACTTTTATTTTTCTCGATTTTTCAATTTTTCGATATTTCAATTTCTCGATTTTCGTTTTTCAATGACTCAAATTTTCGATATCTCAGTGTTGGGATTCTTCAAATTTTCCATTTCTCAGTTTGTTTATTTTTCGATTTCTCAATTTTCCGATGTATCAATTTTGGGATTTTTCAGTCTTGTGGTTTTTAAATTTTTCGACTTTTCACTTTCTCGATTTTCAGTTTTTCGATTGCTTAATTTTTCAACATCTCAGTTTTAGGATTCTCAAAATTTTCAATTTTTCAATTTGTTTATTTTCCGATGTGTCAGATTTTCCAATTTTTCGATTCTTCATTTCTTCGAATTTTTAATTTTTCCGTTTTTGGCGTCTCTAAATTTTCGATTTCTCGACTATTCGATGTTTCGGATTCTCAACTTGTTGATGTTTTGATTTTCAGATTTTCAGGTTTTCAAATTTTCAACTTAACAATTTTTAGATATTTCAGGTTTCCGATTGTTTAAATTTTCGATTTTTCAAATTTTCGACTTTTTATTTTCTCGATTTTTCAATTTTTCTGTATTGCAGTTCTGTGATTTTTCAGTCTTGGAATTTTTAAATTTTTCGACTTTTTAATTTCTCTATTTTCAATTTTCTGATGTGTCAGTTTTACGATTTTTCAATTTTTCGATTCTTTATTTCTTCGATTTTTTAATTCTTCAGTTTTTGACGTCTCAAAATTTTCGAATTTCCGACTTCCTAGATTTTTTCGGATTCTCGACATGTTGATGTTTCGATTTTCAGATTTTCGAATTTTCAACTTAACAATTTTTAGATTTTTCAGGTTTCTAATTTTTTAAATTTTCGATTTTTCAAATTTTCCACTTTTATTTTTCTCGATTTCTCAATTTCTCAACTTGTTTATTTTTCGATTTCTCAAATTTCCGATGTGTCAGTTTTAGGATTTTGCAGTCTTGTGATTTTTAAATTTTTCGACTTTTCACTTTCTCGATTTTCAGTTTTTCGATTGCTTAATTTTTCGATATCTGTTTTAGGATTTTCAAAATTTTAAATTTTTCAATTTGTTTATTTTCCGATGTGTCAGTTTTACGATTTTTCAATTTTTCGATTCTTCATTTCTTCGATTTTTAATTTTTCCGATTTTCCGACTTCCTAGATTTTTTGATTTCTCGACTTTTCGATGCTTCGGATTATCGACTTGATGTTTCGATTTTCGGATTTTCAGGTTTTCAATTTTTCAACTTAACAATTTTTAAATTTTTCAGGTTTCTGATTTTTTAAATTATCAACGTTTCGTTTTCTGGATTTTTCAGTATTTCGATATTTCAGTTTTGTGATTTTTCAGTCTTTCACTGATCTTTTAAATTTTCGACTTTTCGTTTTCTCGATTTTACAATTTTTCGATTCCTCAGTTTTCCGATTCTTTAATTTTTCTTCGATTATTCAACTTTTCGATTTTCCGATTTATCGTTTTATCTATTTTCCAATTTCTAATTTTTTTATTTTTCGATTTCTCAATTTTCCGATATTTCAGGTTTACGGTTTTTCAATTTTTCGACTTCTTTTACTTCTGAGATACTAACAGTATACAAGGAGTTCAAAATACGCGGGAATTTTAAATCTACGTATAGAGAAAGGAAAAATCTTTGCAAAATAATAATATCAGCACTGATATTATAAAATACGCATAAAAAAAGAAAAAACCTTTCAAACGTGCTGATTATACAGGGTGAGCCACTAAGTGCGCGTTCTTGATATCTCATTATTATTATTACTAACAGAAAAAAAAACAAAATTAGTTCCAACTATACAGAGTGTTCTGTTTTTAAGGTGTAACGCATCACGAATTAGTTTTTTCAAATAAAATACCATACATATATGTATATTTTTTTCTTGCTTTTTAACCATAGGTTAATTCCGATGCGACGTTGCTAAATTATTCTACTTTTCTTGAAATTTTTTTGAAATGGAAAGATTCACAGAAAAAAACACGATAGAGTTATTTTTTAAATCAGGATTATAATGTTTTGTGGAGAGATAAACAAAAATACGCGCTTTATTGTGATGTAGATAAAATTGGGTATTAATATACAGAGGGTTTATTTTCTTTTTTGTTCTTTTTTTTTGTTAAATATGTTTAAAGTTGTAATTATTGAGGTTTTTTACATTTTTAAGGGACACATCGACATATTGAAAGAAAGAGAGCAAAAAGTTAAGTAAGATGCGGCAATAAAATACAGGGTGTTCTATTTGAAAAAACTGAAATATAGATATTTGAACACTGTAAAGTTTAATTTCTTATAAACACTCTGTATATTAATATTTTTTGTGAAAAATTCAGAATTTTTGAATTTCATTGCTTTATTGCTTTAAAAGTTACTGCGCTGTATCTATAGATTTTTAGATGATAAATTATAAGCATGCGATAAAAAATTTCCAATATAAGGTCTGATCTGACTTGCCCTGAGTTCACCTGACCAATGACGTTATAACTTTCAATCATGATCTAAAATTTCAAATTTTCGGAAAATCTTTTTGATACAAAGAACCGTAAAATCACTTCAGAACCTTTGTCTGTACCGGAAATAAATATAGCAAGGTAAAACAAATAAAATTGCTTTTTGAACACTTGAAATTAAAAAAAGTATCTTCACTAAAAAAACCCTCACTGCCAAATTTATTTTCTACACTGAGGAATTTTAAAGAAACTATGTAGCCGATCATAGGATGGGGCAAGAAAAACGTTCCCATTTTAAAAAATTATCGCTGACGTCATGACAACGGCGGCTATTAAATTTTAACTACAATATTCAAATATCGCCCTTTTAAGGAAAAAATGAAACTCAGACCTTCCTGTCAACTTTTATACCTAATTTTTTAACCGAAATGACCCATCCATACTTTATACGTAAACAAAAAACCCGCATAAAAAACGAAATCGACCATAAAAAATAAAAATAAATAAAACTCACGTATCTCAACAGCTTCGGCACAGCCCAGTGCACATCAATGACCATCCCCGCAACATTCAAAAACGGCCACGACTTCTTATGCGCCATAATCGCAAACTGGTGATCCCGATACGTACAAAAGCAATAATTCTTATACGGCACCCTCGACTTTTTTATCGCGATCCCCGTCAACCCTTCCCCCATCACCCGCACCACGACGTCCCTCACGAACTGCTCCGACACCCACTCCGGAATCGACTTCAGGATCAGCCGATTGTTATTCAGCGACAGCTTCACCACGATCCTGTGCTCCTCGTCGATGTGTTCGTCGTGGAGGCAGCAAATCGCCTCCCGGCTGGCCCGCACCCGCTGGTACTGCACGAAGCACTTGCCCCGGTTGCAGCCGCTGAAGTCCATGAGGAGGCGGATCTGGTAGATGTCGCCGCAGCGCGCGAAGAACTTGAACAGGGAGTCCACGGAGATGCTGCGCGGGATGTTGGAGACGAAGACCTCGGTGGAGGGCTCCGGGTCGCCGGTGGGGTTGAGGAGTTTGACGTACTTCTGGCCGTAGATTTGGAAGACGCGGTACTTGAGTTCGGAGGTCGGGGATTTGCACGTGAGGAGCTCCAGCTCGCTGCGGTAGGTCACCTGGAGCTCCATTTCTGGTTGGTCGGTGCGGTTAGCATTGGAGGTCTGTGGTGCTGGTGTGGTTGATGGTGAGTGGAGGAGTGGGGGGCGGCGGTGGTGGATTCGGGGTTTTGATTGGTGAGGACGCGACTTAGCGGGATTAGGAGGTGGGTGGGAGAAGGTGATGGGTTCGTTTTTGGAAGTTACGAGTAAGAGGGACAAATAATTGATTTATGTGAATTCTAGTGGAAGTGGAACGTAAATTTTACTTAAATATTAGTAGGTTGAAAGTGACGCTACCTCGTGGTATTGCTGGTCCTATAAATACAGTTATTTTACTCGTATAAAAATGGAAAGCGATACACAGCGCTATAGGTGGCTTTATTCTCATGTATATAAAGAAAGTTTTTTTTTATCAACCGCTTTAAAATGTCAACACGAATTGTAAAAAAATTGGGCAAAATTCGAAGAAATGCGTTGGTAACAAGCCAACCTTCCAGATATTTTCGAAGGGAAGTATTGCCAACTGAATAAAAAAAACATTCTTCTCCGGATATATATTGCTTATGTCAAAATCAGTTGTAATGTTGTGTGACAAGATAACATTTTAATTTAAATATATAATCACCCTATATATATATATTATACAATATAAGTTAAAACATTTTTCATATGTCGAGACAAGGTATTTACAAAAATTAAATTAGACATGAAATTTCAGACACATTACACAGTTTTTAATTACGAGGTACTACCGAAAATTATTCTTAAGTTGCATCAAAATCACACGGAATATGATTGTCATTAGTTTTTTTTTCAATTTATTAATTTGCAACAACTGCAACAAAAAAAATGGCAGCAATCAAGATCCTATAATTTTTCATTTTTACTTCTCGAGCGAATAGCGTTCGTCGGCCGAATTGCCACTTTCATGTTTTCTTGACATTCTATGACAGCTAGAGGGTGAAAAACTAGGTTTCCCGTTTACGTCTGTCTGTAGTCTGTCTGTGTCGATTTTTTTTTTAGACAAATTATCTCCGAAACTACTGGACTAATAGTTGTCAAATTCTATATGTGTGTTAGGAATATGCTAAGCAAAACTTGTTTAATCATCCCCAGATTACATTGCAGACATTACCTCAAAATTGTGTATAGTAACTGTTATCAAAAATTTTATAAAATAATATTTTCCTGTAATTGTGGTCCATAAATCCGCCTTGAGTTTTTCCGGAGGCATCCAGATCTTTGCAAAAAAAATTAAATTGAATGACAACTTTTATATTACTCCTAATATAAAATGCAAACGTCATATTGTCATTTTTAGAGAATCTTCTTCGAATTTCGAGATCTTTTGTCTTTTTTAGAGGAATTGAAAGACTTTCAGGAGGTCATAACGTTATTTTTTTTCTATGGCGAAAGATTCTCGGGGAACTTTAGTGTTATTTTTTTCTAAATAGCGAAAGAATTGAGGGAGTCCCTAGTTTTATTTTTAAGACGGAAGAATCTCGGGGGTTTTTAGTGTTATTTTTTCTAAAATTCAAAAGAATCGCGGAGTCCCCTAGTATCTTTTTTTTAAGCGAAGCTAGAATCTCGCTAGCCCATAGTTTTATTTTTTTCTAAAAGGCGAAAGAATCTTGAGGGACTTTGGTGTTAGTTTTTTTAAGTAAAAAAATCTCGGAAGCACCAGAGTGTTATTTTTTTTCTAGAAGGCGAAAGAGTCACTGGTTCCCCTAGCGTGGTTTTTTAAACAGATACATAAAGAATCTTGGAATCCCTTCTTATCTTTTTTTTTAACTTGAAAGACTCGGGAGGTCATAATATAATTTTTTTTTCTAAAAGTCGAAATATTCTCAAAGGATCTCAGTAGGGTAAATGTGTACAAGAGTGCGCATATGTATAAGAGTACGCACTGATGATTTCTGCTTATTAGTGCCATCTGGATAAGATGAAGTTATACCATTCAGAATCTAATACTAAACCTGAGATAAAGGTGCAAAAGTGAGCTGAATATAGTTTATAGTTTGGTCGTACTGACGATTTTATGTTCACACGTTGTGTGGATGTAATTTTTACCGCTCATAGTTTTAGTTTTTTGTAAGGTACGTACCAGTTCTTTTATTTTACAGTAATAATTTTCATTAGCTGTAGCTTTTAAGGTGTCGTTATACACTAACAGTTTTATACTTTCTATCCATCAAAATCTTTTAACTTTGAAAACATTAGGTTATGTACAAATGTACAAGAGTGCGCAGCGAGGTATTGTATAAGAGTGCGCGTTGTTTGCGATACATAGTTTAATAGTCTTGTAGATACATATCATACGATAATGAATTATTTAACTCTACTACTTTGTACTGCTTCTCAAGTTGTGTGGTGGTGGTTATGGTTATTTTTTTTTAATTTTTACTTCCTGAGCGTATTGTAATTGAGTCCGTCGATCGACTCTCTACTTTTATGTTTTCTCGACTTTTCAAGAACCCTAGTGTACAAAAAACTAGGTCTCCCGTTTTATGTGTAGTCTGTAGTCGCTTATTCCCATTTATTTTCACCTTAGAGACAAAGATTTTTTCATAAAATGCAATGCGCACTCATAAGCGTTCAAATGCGCACTCTTGTGCAATGAACTGTCTAAGAGTGCGAATTTACACATCTTGAGAAAACTTGAAATTACTCTTAAAATATAGTGGCTTGGGACGTACAATTAAATACATCTGATCTCTAAACATGTAAATGACGAACCCATATCATAAAATTTGTCTATACAAAAAAATTAAAAAGTTATTGACAGTTTTACACTAAGTGCGTACTCTTGTACACATTTACCCTATTATTTTTTCTTAAATAGCGAAAGAATTTCGGGATCCCCTTATACTTTTTTTTTTTTTAAGCAAAGCTAGAATCTCCGGGTCCCTTATTGTTCTTTTATAGAAAATCTGAAAGAATCTTGGGAGAACCTAGTCTTTTTTTTTCTAAAAGCCGAAAGAATCTCGGGGAACCTTTGTGTTATCTTTTCTAAAAGTCGAAAGATTCTCGGGGGAACTTAGTGTTATTTTTTTCTAAATAGCGAAAGAATCTCGGTAGTTTCTAGTGTTATGTTTTAAGGCGAAAGAATCTCGGGGTCCCCTAATATCTTTTTTTTAAACGAAGCTAGAATCTTGGGATCCCTTATTGTTCTCTTTTAGAAAATCTGAAAGATCTCGGGAGCCCCTAGGGTTATTTTTTTCTAAAAAGCAAAAGAATCTCGGGGGACCTTGGAGTTATTTTTTCTAAAAGTGGAAAGATTCTCGGGGAAACTTAGTGTTCTTTTTTCTAAAAGGCAAAAGAATCTCGGGAGTTTCAAGTGTTATTTTTTAAGGCGAAAGAATCTCGGGATCCCCTAATACATTTTTTTTTAAACGAAGCTAGAATCTCGGAGTCCCATATTGTTCTCTTTTAGAAAATCTGAAAGAATCTCGGCAGCCCCTAGTGTTATTTTTTTCTAAAAGGCGAAAGAACCTCGGGGGACCTTGGTGTTGTTTTTTCTAAAAGTCGAAAGATTCTCGAGGGAACTTAATGTTTTCTTTTTTTTTTCTAAGAAGTAAAAGAATCTCGGGAACCCCTTGTGTCATTTTTTTCTAAATGACTAAAGGATCTCGAAGGCCCTTGGTGTTATTTTTTTCTAAAAGTCGCAAGATTATCGGAGGATCTTCTTAGTATTATTTTTTCCTAAATAGTGAAAGAATCTCGGGAGTCACTAGTGTTATTTTTTAAGGCGAAAGAATCTCGGGATCCCCTAATACCTTATTTTTTAAGCGAAGCTAGAATCTCCGGGTCCCCTATTATTCTTTTTTAGAAAATCTGAAAGAATCTTGGGAGCCACTAACCTTATTTTTTTCTAAATGGCGAAAGAACCTCGGGGGACCTTAAGGTTATCTTTTTTAAAAATCGAAAGATTCTCGGGGGATCTTGGTGTTATTTTTTTCCTAAATAGTGAAAGAATCTCGGGAATCTCTAGTATTATTTTTAAGGCGAAAGAATCTCGAGATCCCCTAATATCTTTTTTTTAAATGAAGCTAGAATCTCGGGAGTCCCTAGTGTTATTTTTTTCTAAAAAGCGAAAAAATCTCGGGGGACCTTGGTGTTATTTTTTCTAAAAGTCGAAAGATTCTCGGAGGAACTTAGTGTTATTTTTTTTTCTAAACAGCAAAAGAATCTTCGGAACGACTTGTGTTATGTTTTTCTAAATGACGAAAGAATCTCAAAGGCCCTTGATGTTATTTTTTCTAAAAGTCGAAAGAGTCTCGGAGGATCTTAGTGTTATTTTTTCCTAAATAGCGAAAGAATCTCGGGAATCGCTGGTGCTATTTTTTAAGTCGAAAGAATCTTGGGATCCTCTAATACCTTTTTTAAGCGAAGCTGGAATCTCCGGGTCCCCTATTATTCTTTTTTAGAAAATCTGAAAGAATCTTGGGAGCCACTAACCTTATTTTTTTCTAAATGGCGAAAGAACCTCGGGGGACCTTAAGGTTATCTTTTTTAAAAATCGAAAGATTCTCGGGGGATCTTGGTGTTATTTTTTTCCTAAATAGTGAAAGAATCTCGGGAATCTCTAGTATTATTTTTAAGGCGAAAGAATCTCGAGATCCCCTAATATCTTTTTTTTAAATGAAGCTAGAATCTCGGGAGTCCCTAGTGTTATTTTTTTCTAAAAAGCGAAAAAATCTCGGGGGACCTTGGTGTTATTTTTTCTAAAAGTCGAAAGATTCTCGGAGGAACTTAGTGTTATTTTTTTTTCTAAACAGCAAAAGAATCTTCGGAACGACTTGTGTTATGTTTTTCTAAATGACGAAAGAATCTCAAAGGCCCTTGATGTTATTTTTTCTAAAAGTCGAAAGAGTCTCGGAGGATCTTAGTGTTATTTTTTCCTAAATAGCGAAAGAATCTCGGGAATCGCTGGTGCTATTTTTTAAGTCGAAAGAATCTTGGGATCCTCTAATACCTTTTTTAAGCGAAGCTGGAATCTCCGGGTCCAATATTGTTCTCTTTTAGAAAATCTGAAAGAAACTT